AATAGTTTGACTCCCTCTTCTTAATTATTTTCCACCCATTGTTTCTTGTTCTGCCCTCAGGTGCCTTGGAGAATAGTTTGACTCCCTCTTCTTAATTATTTTCCACCCATTGTTTCTTGTTCTGCCCTCAGGTGCCTTGGAGAATAGTTTGACTCCCTCTTCTTAATTATTTTCCACCCATTGTTTCTTGTTCTGCCCTCAGGTGCCTTGGAGAATAGTTTGACTCCCTCTTCTTAATTATTTTCCACCCATTGTTTCTTGTTCTGCCCTCAGGTGCCTTGGAGAATAGTTTGACTCCCTCTTCTTTGTGGCAACCTCTGAGATATTGGAACACTGCTATCATGTCTCCCCTAGTCCTTCTTTTCATTAAACTAGACATACCCAGTTCCTGCAACTGTTCTTCATAGTCCCCAAATCATCTTTGTTGCTCTCCTCTGCACTCTTTCTAGAATCTCCCTCTGTCTCTCTCTACCTAAATGCTATTGCCAAGGTCTTCCAGAACTTGGTAAAACAGGTTGATGCTAAGAGACTGATTGTGGAATCACTGGTGCCAATAGAGATTTTATTATATTTAAAACATATTATTTATCTATTACTAATATCTATTCTTTATCTATGCACAGAGTCTGTTTGAATTGAGGTGGAAGAGTAACCTCATGAAGTTTCTTAGTGAATTCTGAAAATATTATAGATAGAATGTATCCTGATTTTAACAAAGCATTGATAAAGTACCATATGGCATTCTAGTTGAGTGTAGGTCTGGACAGCATAATAATTAAATAGCTAAACAGTTTGAAAGCAGTGTTCAAAGACTATGATCAGTGTTTACATATTGGAATAAATAGGGAATCATAAGTTTCACTCACACTTTTCAATATTTTATTAATGATTTAATACAGAAATGGAAGTAATGCTTTTCAAAGTTCCTGGTAATACAACATTGGGTGGCATAGGTAATATTCTAGAAGACAGAAGTAAAATTTTAAATGACCTTGATAGGTTAGAAAAATGGACTGAAAATCACAGAATAAAATTTAACAACATACTAATACATAATTCTTCACTTAGGAATCATAGGTGAAATGTGGATATATGAAATAAACTATACCTGTCTTGGCAATATTATGGTATGCCCCAAAAAGATCTTTTTTTAAAAAAACAGTTGAATATAAACTAAATATGAGTCAGCAGTGAAGCATGACTACAAAATTGCAAACCAAGTTTAAGCAACAACATATGTAAATTTTCAAATCACAGGAAGCAATAGGTTACTTGATTTAGAGGGCCATGAATTAAGATTTGGATTGCACAGCTATTTATGGTAAATGTTGATTTTAATAACATTTTGTTAGACGTGCCATCCTAAGAGTTTGGAATAAATAAAAAACAATGTTTTATGTGAAGATGCCTCTTACAGTGTTTCCCCAGGAAGCTCTTTTTTTTATTGAAAGGAAATAGTGGTGAAGCCACTGGTGGATTTATGGTAAAATAATCTCTTTTAATTTTGGTGACCCTATTCTCAAACTCAAACAGGAATTAGAATCAGAAGGAGGTGACTGCCATTGGTTTACATTTTTACAATTTAAAGAAAAAATTAAATTAGATAAAAGAGTTACGGATTTAACTTTGTGAAAAATGAATTAGAAATCCTACTGTGTGGTAGTGATGAACATATTATTGCCAAGGTTTATAAATTGTTATTAAATTTGAATTTGAATTTGGAAAATGAATATTCCAAATAAAGAAAGCACTGCATGACTCAGTGGGCAAGAAACTCTGGATATAATGTAATGCTTGAACAATGGGAGAATATGTGGATGAAATGACTAAAATTTACACAAAATTATAATTTAAAAGAAAACTTTTATAAGATTATGTATTGTTGGTATTTAACACCAGATAAGTTGTCAAGAATGTATAAAGGTATTTCAAATGAATGTTGGAATGGCAAATGTAAAGAAGCAACCTTTTATCATTTATGATGGAGATGTGATAAAACAAAGCAATATTGGAGTAGGATTTACATCTTAATACAGAAAATATTCAAAATGAATATAAAGATAAAACCAGAAACTTTTCTTCTGGGTTTAATAGAAAAAGACTTGGAACTTTGATTTTATATATGGTGATAGCAGAAGATTATTTTACAAATAAAAATGGAAGGGTACTTTGATTCTTATAATAGATGAATAGTTGATGGTATTAGTAGACATGGCCAAACTGACTGCATTGATCAAAGAAAAAAATACAATTAATTTTGTTTCTAATTGGAAACCACTTCTGGATTTTGTGCTTGTGATGGAAAAAATGAAACTTTGATATTGGGTTTTACTGATAAATAGGTCTGCTGTTACAGAAATACCCATATTTCTGCATTTATATTATGTAAAAGTAAATATGTTGAGATTTGATGTTATTATCTTATTCTATTACATCAAAGAGAGTTGGAAGTCATCACTTTTTCTTTCTTTTTCCCCCTTGTCCCACACTTTTCCCTTCCCTATTTTCCTACTATTTTCTTTGTATTTCTTGTATTATATACTATATTAAAACTAATAAACTAATACATAAATAAACAAATAAGGTCAAACTAGGATATTTTGTGTTAGAAATTATTAGGAAAAGACAAACTAGAAAAGATTTGGAGATGCGAGGGCTAGAAACTAAGTCTAATAAAGAGACATTGAAGGAACTGAGAAGGTTCAGCTTTGTGAAAACAGAACTAAGGCAGATGATACACTCTT